ATGCTTTAGTGTATTGGCTAATTAGTTTCTATTAATAGGAATGTTCGGAAAACAATAAAAAAAAGATTGGAATTTGAGAGATCAAAAATGTGTTAAAAACATGAAAAAATGAATAAAAAATAAACAATGCAACCTAAAACGCTGGCTAGTATTCATTAAAAATAAACTAACCAATACCCAAGCTTTTTATTAGTGTATTTTTCGTAAGCTGTGCTAATCTTGTTAATTTCTTTATGTGTGCTAATGTCGAGCAGCTAGCAACTAAGGAATAGTACACTCTACACTGAATATAGATGTGCTAACCGTGTTAATATTTTTGTGCGTGTTAAAGTCGAGAATCTAGCAACTAAGGAGTAGTATACTCTCCACTGAATGTAGATGTGCTAACCAGGGTCCCAGTGTGCTATCTCGTAAATCATTGTAAGGTCATGCTTTGGTGTATTGGCTAGTCGATTTCTATTAATAGTAATGTTTTTAATTTGAGGTTTTTAATACAAAAATGTATTAAAAACGGGAAAAAGTGAATAAAAAATAAACAATACACCTAAAACACTAGCTAGTATTCATTAAAAATAAACTATCCATTAGGATATTTACGGAAGCTGTGCTAATCTTGTTAATTTCTTTATGAATGGTAAAGTCTAGAAGCTAGCAACTAAGGCACTAATAGTACCCTAAATATGGCCCTGCTAACTGGTGCCTGAGTATACTAGCTCGTAAATCACGATAAGGGTATTTTTGGTTTACTTCTTGTTAGTCGCTAATAATAAAAGTGCTCTCTCTCTCTCTCTCTCAAAAAAAAAAAAAAATAAAAAAAAANATATATAAATATAAAAATAATTATAATACAAATAAAATATATAATAATAAAAATAAAAAGAATATAGATAGATCACCTGACTATAAAACGTGTAACAAACAAGAATTTCCGCTCCGGGAAAAAACCGAAGTTTTGAGGTAAAAAAGAATAAAGGAAATTCATCAACCGATTTCAATCAAAGAATTTTCAAACCAATAATTTAGTAAAAGTGCATTTTTCCTTCGATTTATATTTTAAAAAATCAATCCATCGTTATTATTAATGAACAAAAACTCGCCAAATGAACTTGAAAACTTTAGAATATACGTGAAAAACGTTAGCACACTTCTAAAGGTCAATCATGTTCTTATTTCTCGTAGCAGTTTTAGGAACATTTTTCACTTCCCTTAAAACCCCTAGCACAATAACACATTTCATACGATGCAACTATTGCGAGAAGGACACTGAACCAAATGCATTTTCAACTGCCCTAGAAAGATTCATAAATAACATTACTATTAAAAACATTAAACGCTCTTAACCAACAAGAACTCGCTAAATATATGTGTTACATGAATGAACATGTTAGCACACTTGATAGATGAAAATACCGAAAGGTCGTTTATATAAATTCGTAGAGCACAATAACATACGATTTCCTGACTACTCTGATTTTTGTGGAAATTCGAAACGTTTAACTTACATTGTAGGTATCATTTTCAAGTCGACATACAGGAAATGGAATGTGTAGGTAGGAAAACTTTAAGAAAATAACAAAAAAGCGCTCTCTCAGCTTAACTTTCACATATATTGAACTGGATATTAAAGATATTAAAAGTGAACGGTAAAAAACGATCAGATCTTTTAAGACATCTTTTCAGAATTTCATTTTTTATATTCCAATGTTCAAGTTATAAATAAATTATCAACGTGGAAGAATAAATTACAATTTGTTCCGACCGTGATTCGATTTTAATACTAAAAACTCGACATCTCTATTCGCAGATTTATGTTTAAACCCCGATCCAAATTCTCTGGTTTAGTGCTTTTGATCTAGCAAATAAGAATATTTATTTGTACAGATAATTAGCTTTATTAAAAACTTCAACTTTGTGACCTTTCGACCTCCATTTAGGTATGTATAAGCGCATGAAGGCCTATCTATGAAAGATCAACCAAATTATTATTTTAAAAAGAATGAGGAACACAAGTTGCAAATTATCCTATCGTGTGTTTTATTTAATAACAACCTTTTTAATGGAAATATTTTTAATTTAGAATAGAAAAATTGAACTTGAAGAAAAGGCTGAAAAGTGCTTTCATAGTAAACCTTAAGAAGTTAAAAAATTATTTATTCCTTTAATGAAAATTACAACAAATATAATTAGAATCAAAAAATCAATTAGAAAAGTCAATTCATTCTAAAACTTCTATTATCTAAAAATGATTATAAGTTCTTACCATAAAAAAGGAAAAAAGACAATGTACTGTACAAATTAGTCAGACGACCATAATAGGCAAATTATTTCCGCGTGTTTTTTATACAGTTATCTATCTATCAATAAGAATATTTTTCTTATAAAAAATTATTACTTTCCAAGGGAAATTAAACCGGAGATATTTTAAAAATTAAGTTTACTTGATAATTTTGTACACATTTTTGCTTGTATTTGTCGTTGTTCTTACAAAAGGAAGATAGTTCTGTTTAATATACTGTAAGGCCTTCTGCATATCAAAAAATATTTCATGTTAGTATTAAGTAAAAAATTATTAAAAATTTACGCTAGATGCTCGGTCCTGAACGAATTGAGGTATCTGTATGTGGGTAAGGGTTTTCTGACGAGGGAAGAGCTCACAGCCCTTCTGAACGGCTCCGATTGCTGGGGTCTTGTTGATTTTGCTCGGAAAGCCTGGTTTTACAGATATGAATACATTGGAATGTAGGGAATTAATATTCTCTTCGTCTTATTTTGTTTCTTTTTTGTTTGTCTTTTGTTTTTTTATTTTGTTCTGTTTGTCTTAATAAATATAATTTCTAGTTTGTGGGCTTCTAAATGCGAATTTTTTATTTTGTTCTGTTTGTCTTAATAAATATAATTTCTAGTTTGTGGGCTTCTAAATGCGAATTCTGTTTGCCTGTGGGGGACCCTTTGTAAGTTGGAATCCTTTTGTTCTTTGAAGTGTCATTTTTATAATTTTCCAAGTTTATCGCAATTCAACCTTGTAATTTGAACATCCTGTAAATAATTGTAACCTCTGAAGTTGATATTTTAAATTCTCCTTTTCTTATAATTATATAATTATGCATATTCTTGGATAGTAATGCACTCCGAACTCTGGCTGACGGTTTTAATACCATGCCATAATATTACTGTGTNATATATATATATATAAAGTGGAAGGTTTATGGGCCGACAAACAGCTGAGGTCATCGCCGGCCCTCCGCATGTATCATGCCATAATAATACTGTATTTTTTATTTTTAACTCTAAATTTTTTCATTTTGTAAATAAAGTATATCTATCTATCTATTAAAAATTTATTTAAATGAAAATTGTGATTTCATCATTGAGTTTAATCACAAGGATTTCGTAAAACACGAACCAATTCGGTCATTAAGAGCAAGTGGGCAGCTTGACAAAATGGTAGTTACATAAAACCAAGTTCAAAAGCATTGTCTGCCAGCTCGACATATTTATAATATTAACCTTTCCCGATATCCTGTTATAATCGTGACTTCGCCCTCCTCCAGCGTTGCATATCACTCAGAACAACCTATTATTAATTTTCACACATTAAGATTGTTATTATAACTATTATTTTCATAATGGAGATTGCAGGAAGTTTCCTTCTAATTGTCACGGATGGTTTCATAAATATATTCAGATTATGTAGAAAATAGAAACGCAGTTGGGCAATCAGATGTTCGAAGAAGAAAATATCTTCTCGACTTAATAGAGTTACTACTTGGACATGAACAGAGTGGGTGGTAATCCAAGGTTGCCCTGAGGGTAATTTAGGTCGAATCACATGACCGCCGTATTTGTATAAGTTGTATAAATTGGTCGCTCCCATTTTCCGCATACATCGTCTACTGTACATGGCTCAAAAAGACCAAGGACGAATATTTATGTTAATGCAAATTTTCGGTTTTGTTTAATGTTGAACGTTATGCTGATTTCCGTAGGTGTTTATTCATATGATTCTATTGCCCACTTCTTCCTCGTTTCTTGTTAAGGGCAAGTCACATAAATCATCGTACATTTTGTCCGCCGCCACAAGGATAATGACAAATAAAACTGAAGCATTTTGTCTGCGGGCTCGGATAACCGTTAGTCAATTAAAAGCGTTAATGAATAAATACAAAAAATTAAAAATATCATTGGGATATTTTATTTTATTCTAATATGTTTTGCTTTAATAAATTGGAAAATATTTAAACAATTATCAAATTAAAAAAATGCACTCGTAATATAACAACAAAACAAAGCGACACCAAACGGACCAGGTCAGAGTTGATCAGAAGAAACTAGATTAAACTTGAGAAAGAATAGAATAAACAACTTAAGAAAATGTGTTTATAAATGTTGTATTTTTTCTTTTGTGCTGGATTTAATATTTTCAAGGATCTTCCTAAGAGATTAAGGATGCGATTACCTGATATTTCAAAATTTTACATTGTCAATAAGTGATAAAATTAGGGAAATCCGAGAGATAAATATTTCATTAAGGGATAAAACTTATTTGATTTATTTTCTATTTTCGGCCTATCGTTTAATCCTTCTGGGCCGATGATAATCGTCCAGGCGGGGATTTTATTGAGTCTACCCTATTAGGTGGTACGTAATATATTTGTTATGTGCTATTGTCGAGAGGGCGTTCGGCTATTTGCAATAATCCTTTCCCTTCCAGGTCCAAGGACTTTCTTATTAATCCTGACTTGATCAAGTCGCTTCATTACCCGGTCTCGACGTTGGAAAGTGGATGCTTCAGGCCGGTTGACACCTTCCAATATAATTATAATAACTTATAATCACCTCTAATCTAATCTTCGGATCGTTTAAAAACGAATTTGGACGTTTAAACAGCGTATTTAACCAGTCGGCAATTGCCTTTCGGGAAATAAGGACCTACATTTTGGCAGTGGATTACTATAATCGGCGTATTTTTATAACTGTATTTTCGTTTTAACTAATATTTTTCTATCGGTAATCACAGTCATGCTATCAATGGATCCGCAAATTCTTGATGATTGTTTGTGTTTAGCTGTTTACCAATTTCTCGCCTTTTCTTGTGCATATCTGAGGCGCCAAACAACACGTCCAAGCAGACCTTTTAAACTACCAATGGCAAAAGTATGGTTTTTTAAATTATTTTATTTTTTAAACCAATACTACAATTGACTTTAATAATTTCACACAAATGGTAGATAATTAAATTTTATAAATAAAATTTCTTGAAAGTTAATTCATATATCCAGGGTAAGGTAAATTGTACTGAATTACTAAAGTTAGTTTAAATTCAAAATTAATTATTATGTAAATTTTCTTTTAAATTGTTAGAAAATTAGTTGAAAAGACTCATTAAAACTTGTTATGCGATCAATCAATGTTGATTGGGATTCGGGTTGTGGTCTTCAAACATACAATGTTATTATATCAACGCCCAAGCTTTCGACAAGTTTTATTACCTTCTTCAAGGGATCTACATAGAGACATAATCATTTAAATAGTTATAAATTATTTTGTCAGTTTGTTGTTACAGATACAAAGTCATAACTAAAAACACATTACACATTTCACGTTATGTATTTATATAAACTATATACATATATAATAAATAAATAAAAACCTCTTCTTAATAGCCTCTTACATATATATTTATTTTTTTTAAACAGTAACAATTACTTATCAATTAGTATTCTTTAGGTACATAAATATCACAGGCGTTTGACTAGAAAATTGTGTTTATCAGGTGGAAGGTTCCCCACACTATCACCTACTGATAACAATCATTTTCCACAATTTTTAAAACAAGATCTTAATTTCTAGTACATTGGTAATTGTATGTTATCACAGCCTGTTATAATAATTAAATAAATAAATGGATAAATAAATAAATATGTATGCAAGTATTGTTACGATCTTTGGAGAGAGACCTTGTCTTTTTCTAGAATCCCACTGTATATCACACTCAAATTATTCAAATCTGTTTTTGAATTACATGCCATGTTATCCTGATGAATAAATATCATTTCTCTCAAAAGTCTACGACCTGTATTTTGTTCTGAAGCCACAATTTTCACTCCATCCAAGTCAAAATTATGTTTCGTAGCATGTGCATATTTGGATAAGACTCATTAAAATTATTTTTTAAGACATAGGAAACAAAGAAATTTATTGTCTTATTGATTTTAGATGTTATAAATATATTTTTACAGAGGTCACAGAAAAAAGGATTAAAATTTTAGAGACCAGAACTCTGAACTATTTTTACCAATTTTGATTGAAATTCACATTATTACATATTCTGAACAGGCATTGTTTGATGTTGTTAACAATATTTTAAAAGAATTGGACAGAGGTTGTCATGTTTTTGGGATCTTTCAAGATTTAAAAAAAGGCTTTTAACTCCGTCGATCATTAGTTGTTATTAAAAATAAATAAATAAATAAATAAATAAGAAGAATTGTTGAGGTTCACTTATTAAATCTTATTAAATGGGAAGAACTCAGACAACAAAAATTGAAACAGTCTATAGCAATCCATTGCCTACCGTCTCTGGCGTCCCTCAAGGTACGGTTTTGTGTCCCCTGTTTTTTCTTTTATATATTAATGATCTTTTAAATTTAAAAATATCCGGTAAAATTTTTAGTTATGCGTGCATGATTTTTTCTGGAAAGATAATTGATAATTTGCTTATATCTATTAAAAATTATTATTATTATTAATTTTTAAGGGCATTTTAACGGCTAAGGTCATTTCACGCCCTAACATCCGAACCTTCTGTCATAGTTTAGCTATATCTGTTCTGTCTATTAACAATTATCTTAGATTTGTTAAAACATGGTTATATTCTAACTATTTACTTTTAAACAATGATAAATTCAGGTTTCATCACAAATTTAAACAATAGTTTTTAAAATTTTCTTGTTTGTATGTCTTTAAAAATAACATTTTTGCTAAATCGAACAGTGAGTATCAAACAAGACAAAAAGGACTTACTAATATTGTTTTATCGAAAGTAATCCAAAATAGTATAAATTAATTAAATCCAAACACTAATTTTTACTTGAATTTTTCATTAAATGTTGTTTTTAGGTTTCTATACAATCATAAAATTAATTTTAAGAAATTTAATTCTTATAATTTCAGAAAAATTATTACTGTAAAAATTGTAAATTTATAAATTGAACTTTCTTTGTGATATAATTGGCATCGTATGGCAATTATTGTATTCTTTAATTTTTATTTTATATTTTTTTTTAATTTATTGCATATTAACTTGTTTTTGCTTTTTTCTCTTAATTATTTTTTATTTCATTGACTTTTTCTTGGCCCTGGACCTCCTTATGGTTCATAAATAACTACTCAGAAAGCTGGGAGAGCAACAATGGTCGCTGGAAACCCTCAGGATGTATGCAAATGATAAATATTGTACCTCATTACAAATATATACATTATCATCTGTACAAAATTTGTGTATTTGTACAGATGATAATAAAAAAACGTAATAAAAAATTAAAGTATGGCTGGGAAAGGCAATTTACCTCCCCCCCCCCCGGTTGATTTTGTCCAAATTTTGATAGTTGATTAGAACCCAAAATTTAATATGTAATTCTATAGTTTTAAAAATAACTAATAAATTTCGTTGACTATGTTAAGGATGCATTCCGACCAAAGTAATTAACAATTAAATGTAGTTCTTATTGCCAAATTTCTTGGTGTTGTTAAAAGAATTTTTGTTTTTGAGAGTACGGAACAAAAGAGGTTAATTTTATCTTATTATTTGTTTATCATCAGTTTACAAAATTCTTTTGTTAACTAAATACCACATTATATTTTTTTAAGTCGATTTTTTTACTACGTTTTATATAGTTTGTTTAGATTCCCTTAAAGTTATAATGACTTATTTTTATCACATAATCCCTTCTATTTCCTAGCTAATATCTTTAGTTTGTGGCTTACCTTTGAAAAAGTTTACATTTGGAAACTTGAATATTTTACGAAAAAGTAGCGATTTGAAGATCGTGGAATTAATGTTTTCATCAGTAATGACTGTAATGGCAGCAATGATTTTGCTTCCTTGTATCATGGCATTAATTTTGTATCCACAGTGCAAATCATTCAAACTTGTAAAACTGTGTTGCAAATGAAAGGTGAAGGCCGTGATTTAATTAGCTGTTTATGCATGAGAAGCATCCTTCCGATTGAATATCCCTTGCCGAATCCTAGGTCTCGCTGACCTGAAAAGTCTATCAAGGCAACAGGACGTTGAAAAAGTATTATAAGGGGAAAGGAAGATCCCGGCTTTTAATGGTAATCCGTGACTGGGGAGTAGGTCAATCAAGGAACTTGACACACTAGAATGTCGCTGCTGTATGGAATGTCATCGGGACCTTCGTGAAAAACATGTTATTGCCGGAGCTGTACGTCATTAAAACTGTTAATGTAACTAAAAAATGCTTGAAATTACAACGACCATTGTTTAGGGTGGTATTATACAATTAATGATGATATTTATGATTATATCAAGAACAACTAAGAAATTATTCTCAAGTACTACTAGCAGGTTCATTTAAGAATAGTGAATAATGAAAAGTTAAATAGAATAAAGAAAAGAGCTGGAAGAGTAAAATCTTGTCCGCCTGGACTCGCTGTTGTACAGAATTTCTAGCAACATTAAAAAATATAATAAAAGATGTACTTTTTCAAAGTTTTTATATTTTATTTAACAGTAAACAATAGAAATTTCAATATTTAAAATAAAAGTATTGATACGAATAATTGAGTGAAGTGAATATCGAGTTTGTTATTGCATTTATAAATTATTAGTTTATATTTTGTTACGATTTTTATTAAATGGTGCTTATTTTGTTTTAGGCTGTGGTTGTGGGGTTGCTGGGCGCAGTAAATTGTAGCCCCTTGCCTTCAAGAGACATCCTTGCCGGGCAAGAGTTTTTGGAGCTTTACATGAGAACTCAGCCAAGAAGCAGCGGGTCGTATTTTATAAACAACAATATTATTCAAAACGAGGTTAAGTCGACGGTCCCACCTTTGACTTCGACGTCGATACCCGTAGTAACGGAAGCAACTACGGGCGTCACGTCTTGGACGACGGAAGCCGAAGAGGAACCGTCGTCGGAAGTGGTCAAAGTCAGCGTCACTTCTAGCATCGCCAGGCAGATGGCGAAACCGCACGAAATAACCAGAATAGCGACGACGCTCGACGAGCCGACCATCACCGCCATTCAGAGGAGCCATTTCGGCGTGGACGAGACATCAGGAGTTATTTCAATAAAGAAAGAACCACCGGAAAGTTCGTTTACGGTTGAGAGGAGTCAAAATGGAGAGAACACCAGCTTCACAGTGCGACAGATACACCAAGGAGATTCCACCAGCAGTTTCACGATACAGAGAAATGTTCCAATCAATTTAGAAAAAGTAGAAGAAAGGACTAGTTACACCGTCGTTTCGAAGCAAGAGCCTAAACAAGAGCCGTCGAATGAGGAAGAGACCGTCGTCGAACAAAGGACGTTCACGACTGAGGCCAGGACGGCACGAGGAGACCCCGCCAAAACTGTCGAACCGGCTAAAAATTGGCAATACCAGAGGCCACCGTTCACCCCCAAACAAGATAATCACGACGAGTCGAAAAGTTACACGTCGACTCAAATAAATACCGATGCTCCGAAAGCAGAAGAGTTCGTCGAGCGCCAGTCTACAAAGGCGTGGCCGCACCAGGAGAGGACGATCTTCTCGACGGAACGGGATCCAAGGGTGTACAGGCAGGAGGCCAGGAAAAACTGGGAGTATCAGGAAAGGGTTTACGCAGAGCCGGAGAAGAACTACGAGGTTGACGAGGCCGTGAGCGTCATGACCAACGGGAGGGTCCACGGTGTCCAGCCCGTCTCAACGCCGAGCCCGAACAAACTCGGCTACGTCGTCGAAGGGTCCAACTACAGGAAGTACCGCGTGGAAGAAAAGACACCCGACGGCTTCATAGTCGGCGAGTATGGCGTGGTCAGCCACGACGACGGATCTCTGCGCGGGGTCAGATACACGGCCGACTCGAACATCAACCCCAGGCTCATATACGACGCTTTAGTGAAATTCCTTTCGCTCAAATAATCCCTCGACGACTCGTTAGCTTTTGTTTTTAAAAAGTTCGAACTATTGAGTTTTCTTTCGGGATTCGAATTCGATGCGGCTAGTCATGCTGACCGGAATATCCCATTCTCGGGGCTATTAGGACGACCCGGAGGGGACTCGAACGGGACCAGGAACGCCATCCAGGAGTTCTTTGTCCCGTTTCGCCCTCGGCTTGAACTCATAGCCCCACAACTTGTAAACTGAGAAAAAAAATAAACCTTAGTCAAAGACCGCATGCATCATACAAAAATAAAAAGGCTTTCATTCCTAAAGACGATTCAATCCCAGTGAACCCATATTTTGTATCTTCGATGTGTATATATGTGTATATTTTATATTATTATTATATAGGTTTAGCTGTGTGTGACTCAGGATTTTGAATGAAAATAATATATTATAAAAAATAGCTCCTGAATTTGAAGAAATTTGTTTACCTCGCATTATTAATCAACCTACAACGAAACATAAAGGGTTTAAAGGCTTTTTTAAGTAATTAATCATTTTTGTAATACAAGTTTAACTATTTAAACATGGAGAATATTACAGAAATCTTAACAGGTAAGAAAAAGTAAAAACTCTGCTTCTGCCAATTTGACAACAACAAGAAATGCGAAGTACTGTCTAAACTGCGATATATAATAAGTTTTTAAATAAACAAAATTAGCACACAATATATTATTAAAACTCATGCATACCATAAGTATTAAGTACAGAGATTACCAAGGTCGTAAATCTCATATAGTAGAGATCCTAAAGAGTCAACGATTTATGGTTATAAAATCATAAGCAATGCAACTAAGTTAAGGGATTCATTCATGAAAAAAAAATTATATTTTGAATTCAAGGAAAATTAAGAGGATTGTGCTCTTCAGGTTGATAATCAACCTCCATAGCCTTGCTAGCGGCTTTTCCTAGCCTAGTTGTAAGAATCAAAACCTACATAGACCAAAACATAGAATGTGTTCTGCGATCTTCTCTTCTTCCAGGCATTATCTAGACAGTACTTCTTCTGTCAATACTTCTGTCCGGTGCATATGCATATTTCCTCATATCCGGTGAATATTTCTCAAGACTCTAACATTTCCTCTTTCGTGTTCAGCATTTACATCAATAATCTCCTCGACCCCATTCAGCATTGCGATGATCACCTCTATGCCGACGACTACAATTTATAAGTTTCGTTATTCAAATCCGCCGGTCCTGGGTAATTGCTGTCTCCTCCCTCATCTTTCTCTCTTCGACTAAAGCTATGTCCCTTATGGTGGATTTTCAAAAGAACAAGATAGCGTCTGAAAAGACTGATGGATTGTTATGTCAGATTGATTTTCGGTACTATACCTAGTCTCACCTGCAACCAGGCCTATCGTTCCTTCCATAGGAAGTATTTCTTTAGATCCTTCCTTTACCACTCCATAAACTCACTTACCTCCGACTCGCTTCCCAATGACCTGTATATTTCTCGTCATAAACATCTCCACATTTGAGTGGTCCTTCCTAGCTCAAGCCACATATCTCCTGTTTTTATATTCTTCTGTATTATGTGGTTTATTTCAATTTATTTCGCTTTGTTAACGTCAAACCTTCATTAATTCAAGTACCAGATTCGCACAAATTTCGGTGAACTTACTGTTATTCTTAGGGGACCTTCGTCTCAGAATAAAATATATTCTCTCTCCCTCCCTCCCTCCCTCTTACTATCTCTCTGTCTCAAATATGTCTTCTCAAGTGGCAGGGTCCTGTCACGAGTTCAATCAGAATCCTGGTTCCGTTGCGGTTGCCCTCAAGTAATTTTTTTGTAAGTCTTGCTGTTGGCCTTTTTATGAATCCCTTCGCGTGCCTCATACTTGCTGCTGCTCCACCATGTTTTGGAATCATTAAGGATCCATTTATGGATGTACTATTTCTTGTTGCAAAGTGCTAGGCTTCTAAAGGGTTCGGGGCCTAGAGAATTTATATTGGCTCCTTTTTGGCCAAGATGGAAACTTTCTCATGCTTTTATGCTTCGAATGCCTAGATGCTCCTGGCTAGGGACAGGACGTAGGTGTCAATCATTTCTGCGAGAGATGATATACAATTCTATGTACTTTTTGTCTTTTTCTATAAAGCCTTAAGTGCGGCCTGACTGACTGAGACAATCATCCTGGAAGAAAATTAAAGAAAACGGAAGAGGCCTTTTACCCAAGGAAAGTAATAATGGCCTCTTACTAGTAGTCAGTATTGATAATGATTTTTGGATGAAACTAATTGATCAGTACATCTATTTTATTTTGAAGGATGAAATGTAGTACACATTATTAGTAATTTGTTAAAAAAGCACATTGACCTTAGGATAGAGGTGATGGCCATCATCTTCTAAAATGCCAGTTTTAATATTTAACGTTTTCAATGTGATTAACTAGTTTTGATCCTTTTAATAGTTTGTAAATGAAACATTGCAAAATGACTTCAATCTCTGACAAGTTTTTTTTAAATTGCATTGATCATTGCTTTGCATTTTTTCTAATCTTTCTCGCGTTTCGAACCTACTAATTTCTTTTACTGGGTCTCCAGCTAAGCTTTATGACATAACGGTAAACAACTGTCAGTGTACTTTATTCTATTGCTAGCCTGTTTATATCCCAGGGCTTCGTCAAATGACAGTTTGGTTTGCATCCACACTACCCGAATACTCGATATTCCTCAGGGTGATTGGGGGTAGCCCCTTCATTCACCTTTTTAATTTAAATACTCACATTCGTTCACATCATCCCAGAGTACTCGATATTCCTCGGGGTAATTGGGATAAACCTGACCATTCATGCAATAAATTACATGTACACACCACAAATCATTCATACTACCCCAGAGAACTCGATATTCATCGGGGTAATTGGGATAAACCTTTCCATTCACGCTAATAAATTACATCTACACACCACAAATCATTCAAACCACCCCACAGATCTCGATATTCCTCTAGATAATTGGGAATGGCCCTCCATTCATGCTAATACATCCTTCCAATAAATAATTAATATAACATACATGAATTTATAGAAAACCAACCAATGCGTCAAATTTCCTCAGTTTCTTAACGCTAAATTGACAAATTGACGATATTTTAATGAGAGTTTATTCTTTCTTTTATCAAGACGTTTCACCTTAATGGTGCTTTGCTACGAAATTTCTATACAACTAGAAAAATGATAAATGTCCTTTTATGGTTCTGTATAAAATGACATCACTATTTATTTGCCAGATGAGTACAATTCAGAAAAATGTCAAAGAAGAAAATATCATTACTTTGACCTCTGGGTTAATGACATTCTAATTTATTCTTTTAATAATAGAATTTTAAGTTTGTCAACCGTCGAAATGTTAAACTTGCATGCACTATCTGTGATTTGTGGCGAAAGTGACTGGCTGAGAAGGGTTATTTTATTTTTAAGGTCTTCATGCGTGGAATACACTTTCTCCTTTAAAGTTGCACAAAGGATAAACCCCTGTCCGTCTATTCTGGCAGTATGTTTAGGTCAGACGAGTTTCGACATCGTCTGGTTTCTCATTTTCAATTTGAGCAAAATCAGGGCAAAGTTGGGTTGTGTTTCTGTTTCGCTGATGACCTTTACATTTATGATAAAATCAGGGGTTCTTCTTTATTGGTTTGGGATATTAAAGTCAATTAGGTATTTTTTTGTTCGTCCGGCCTCCTTTGCCTTGCTCTACCGTCAATGTAAAATTACTTCCTGACCAGTCTCATAAAATGAAATATATTCTATTAAAATGAAATATACTGTACGCCAAGGACTTAAAAAAAGTAAATCTAGAGTTAAATTTACATATTTATTTTAGTAGTCTTTTAATGGATTGATGTTCAAATAGCTTGTGCTAATCATTCCCAATTCTGGATTAAAAGCTGAAGTTAAAGATGTGTTAAAGACGAGGCAGGAAATGACTATCAATTCACACAAGAACATACATATGTATTAATTAATTCAAGAAGAATCAGTGACTAAATAAATTAGAGAAAGAACAATGAGAGTAGTAGTTGAACTGTCTAATTGGGCACCTTTAGGCGGTGACTTAGAATTGACCCTCGTGATACTGTCAGTTCATTCGTTTTTTCAGTGCACAACTTTCATACAAGTCCTAAGAAAAAAAAACTGATCGCAAATTGCTGGTAGATTAAAATATTTTATCATTTCAACAAAGCCAATCAATATGGTAAAGCTACTATTAAAACAAGGAGCAGGAAATGAGGAATTATAGCTAATTAAGGAGGGATACATTGGCCAACAATAGAAAATAAAATTAGACGACTTCATCTAATCGGAGAATAAAAATTGAATGGATCCAGATAATGAGATGAGGTCGGACAGTACGATGATGAAAACAACGATTAATCAGTATGAAGGAATAAGTTGTTGGAAAGCACTTCAGATCGAACTTAAAGAGAATGCTAAAAACAATGAATGATAAGAATCAAGAGAAAGAGCAGAGATAGAAGTTAAAATAAGAGAAATTGAGGAATTTTGAAGTTACAACCCAACCATTGTTTAGTTGTTTATCAGCAAACCGATAAACGAAGAACCACGGTTGAAAGTTGTAGAATATAACCTTACTAAAATAGAACCAAACTTTAAATTCATTGTAATTGAAACCTTTGTAAAATGTTAATGTTTGACCAAGTTTTAAATGATTAATTAAATTGTTATAGTCTTGATGTAAGGATAAACTCCTCAAAAGCTCGATGACGGAACTGCATCATCAATATATCGGGTTGTCCGGAAAATAATGCAGGATTTTAAGTTTTCATTAAAAAAAATCTATATAAAATATTCTGTTTACGTTTACAGGATTACTCATTTGTATGAATGTCAACACTTATTAATCCTCTTCCAAATGATATTGTTTGTTTACCTCTGTAGCATTCCGCTACTTGGAAATAATTCAGTCATCCTTATAATGTCAAAGCGAGAATTTCGTACGATTTTCTTTTACGAGTTTAAACTCGGCCGAAGCGGAGCCCAAACGGCTAGAAACATTAACCAAGTCTGGGGCGAGGGTTGTGTTAATGAGTGCACTGTGCAAAGGTGGTTTAAAAAATTTCGGGAGGGAGATTTCAGCCTTGAAGATGAAGAAGGTCGTGGAAGGCCTTCCTCTCTTAATGATGATGTTCTGCGATCAGTGGTGGAAGAAAACCCCAAAACAACTGTTCGAGAACTTGCAGAGCAACTCAAAGTCAGTAAAACGACCGTCGCTGACCACCTCAAGGCGATTGGAAAAGTGAAAAAACTCGAAAATTGGGTTCCACACTCATTAAACGATCGCCAAAAAAATCAGCGCTTTGATGTTTGTGCATCACTTCTTTGTCGAAACAAAAATGACCCATTTCTGGCCAGAATTGTTACATGTGACGAAAAGTGG